CCCCCTCCCATCTCTGCAAGGGTCCGTTTGCCCAAGGGAGGGTTCAAATTGTTACAACAAGGATGCAGGAGGAGAGTTGGTGTTTTGATGTATGAAGGAAGATGATTCGGAGTTCTGACGCTGACACTGAGAGGCATGCTTTGGGGAGAGATAAAGGTGTGTTCTAAATTTCCTTAGCTGCCTTAGCATGTCTTAGCTGCCTTAGCTCTGTGGCTGCATCATGAAGTTTTACTGTAAGTCAGGGGCAGAGGGAAGCCTGAGACTGGATACGAGGGAAGTCCATGCCACAGAGAGAAGGTAAAGAGACGGTACGTGTGTCAGTCTGGGGATGGAGAGGAGAGGCAGATAGGTGTTCACGTGCTCCTGTCATCCTCTTCCGAGTCCAAATCCCGCAAGAGTGTGTTGGATAATTTGAAGGGTTGAAGCTAACCTTTTGCAGTGTGCTGTATGTGCTGGATGAAGACCACCCTGCAGGGTGACTTGGTGGCTGCAAGAAAAGTGCAGCCGTGGAAGGCGTGGGCGGCCAACAGGTGGCCCAGAGTTCACTTCCCCAGTCTTCCTGTGTGGCACAGAAGGAACCACAGTCCTCACATGCCTGAGGGTGGAGGTGGGGGTTTTGTGACAGTTGTTCCAATTACCTGTTGCAGACCTGCCGAAAACACCAACCATTATATTACGCTCCCTGACTCTTGGGTCAGGAGTTCAGAAGGGCACAGGGTGGGGTGGGGGGACAGTGACATGTCTCTGTTCTATGATGTCTGAGCTCTCAGCTAGGAATTCAGATTTCTCAGGCCTGGAATCATCTCGAGGCATCTCCACTCTCTTGTCTGGTCCTGGGCTGGAGGATGGGAACTGCTGCCTGGAGCACTTAGATGTGCTGTCTCCGTGTGGCTTCAGCTTCCTCACAATATGGCTGCCTGTGGTGCAGCTGCCTTCTAACACAGCACTGCATGGTTATAACAGGGAACATTCCAGCAAAAGCAAAACCTCTCATATTCTTTTATATTTTGGCCTTGGAAGTCACATAACCTCATTTCAGCCACAATCCACTGATCAAAGGAGATACAGATCTGCCCAGATTCAAGGGAGAAGGATGGAGGTACCACCTCTCAGTGGAAAGAGTGTGAAAAAATGTGTAGCTTTGTTGTAAATATGTCGCAAGAATGTAGCTAAGAGTGTGGTTGGAGCTTACAACATCACCCCTGGAAAGCTCTAGAGATGGGGAACCGCAGGGCAAGAGATGAGGCTGAAGACCAACTGGAAACTGGGGGTGAGGGTGCCCTCAGAGCTCGTAAGAAGGGACGGGGTCGGGGGGGGCTGCAGTCAATGAGGTGAGACCCCTGCCCCTTAGAGGGCTGGGGAGTGGGGGCAGGTTGCTTCTCTAGGCACAGAGAAAGGCCCAGAGCACCTGCATAGCTCCTGGGGGGTGGTGAACAGGAACTACCCCACAATAGGGATTCAGCAAACCCGGCCAGCCCCCACTGGGGGACCATACCCACTGACCCTCAGCTGCATAGGAGGGTGGGCAGGGCTGGAGGGAGAGCGCCTCCCCCCCCTCCCCACAGCATCAGCTGTCCTGCCCCATCTTGAGGAGGAGGCAGGAAAGGCAGTCTGAGAGACCAAGTTTGGATGCTACTATGCACCTCTCTGGCAGAGACAATTTTAAGTAAAAAGTGATGAATGAAACCAAAGGAGCCTGACACACCACAAAGTAGCAACCTAGGTCTCCCTGCTGGGATGGGGGCAATGACTGATGGATCCAGTATGGCAGATAAAGCAGCTGGGCTCTTTCTTCACATCTGAGCAGAGTGAATGTGGAGTGATACACGCCAGCAAAGAACACTTTCCATATGTTCTTCCCATGTAGCACTTTTTAAAATGATTTTTTAAATTAGCTTTCATTTTAAAAATTATTTACTGGGACTTCCCTGGTGGTCCCATGATTAGGACCTGGTATGATCACTGCTGAGGGCCTGGGTTCAATTCCTGGGTCATGGAACTAAGATCCTGCAAGCTGAGCTGTGTGACCAAAAACATTTATTGGCTAATTTCTCTTTAGTGTAAATCTTGTAAGGACAGGTATGCCTTCTCAGATGCTTCATTCGTGTCCGACTCTATGTGACTACATAGAATGTAGCCCTCCAGGCTCCTCTCTCCATGGAATTCTCTGGGCAAGAATACTGGAGTGGGTTGCCATGCCCTCCTCCAGGACATCTTCCCGACCAGGGATCGAGCCCATGTCTCTTACGTGGCAGGCAGGTTCTTTACCACCAGCGCCACCTGGGAAGCCCAAGGGCAGGTATGGAGATTTTCAAATGTGGCCACAGATTTCTAACCCTCCTCCCACAGAGAGGTGGGAGCCTACGCCTCTTCCCCATGAACCCAGGTGGGCTTGTGGCCCAGTGATCTCGCCTCTGACCCACGGGGGTGGGGGAGTGATGCCACGGGCCTCCTGAGGTGAGGTCACAACAGGCCTGCAGCTTCCAACTCATCCATGGGATCACTGAGCCTTGAGCTCAGACTTCAGGGAAGTCCAGACTTCCCGAGGCCTCCATGCTGTGAGGAAGCCCAGGCCACACAAGGGAGCGGAGATGCCTCCGGGGGACCGCAGCCTCCTGTCACTGGAGTCGCTTGTCAGACGCAGAGGGGCAGACACCAGGCACCAACCTTCTGCCCTGTCCAGGCTCTGGGCACACAGAACCCCCGGGCAGGGCCAAACACACAGACCGAACACACACTGCACACACACTGAGAGTGTCTGGTCTGTTTCACAGCAACAGATAAAACAGCAGTGGACCCTGTGGCCAGCGGACCTGAGGTCTTGAATCGGACTGTGAGGCATCTGTGCCCAGGGGCCCCTGCCTTCTGTCCAAAGCCAGCATCTCAGGCAGCACACAGCACCCCTGCCTCCAAGGCACCCTCCTGCGCCACCCCCCACGGCAGTGCAGGGCCGGGCTGTGACATCCTGTCTGCCCTGGGGCGAGAGTTTTGTAATTTTTCTCCACCAGCCATCTCACTGGGTAGATTTTCATTAAAAAGCTGCCTGAAGTCAGAGGCAAACTCCCTTCTCCTGACCGTTGGCTTTATTTTCACTGCAACTGGATCCAGACAGAGGCATCTGAAACAGAATTGTATGCATGAAAATAAGATTTCTTGACAGTCATAATGAGGATAATAATAGCTAATGTATATTGACTGCCTACCACGTGCCTTAGTCATTATTTAATCCTTACATTGCCTTTATAAGGCGCATGCAATTATAGTCTATTTTATAGATGAGAACACGGGGGCACAGAGACGCTCAGCATTTTGTCCAAGGTCACACAGTGACAGCTAAGTTTGAACCCAGATAAATGATCAGATTGTATATATTAAATACATGCTGGGTTTTTTTTTTTTTGTATAGCCAGTATACCTCAATAAAGCTGAAAGAAAAAAGAAAAAGAAAAACTTGAGCCCAGGGAGTTTGATTGTAGCATCCATGCCCTAGTCAGCATCTGTGTAGCCTGACAATACCATCTGGCTGTACACAACAGTTAGATTTTGAACTCATATGAAAAGATAATTTCATTTGCTGACCCCACAGCTTTCCCCCCACTCCACACCTTAATAAACTTCTTTCTCTGGAATCTACTTTGTTTTATGAAGACAAGAAACACTCATGAGACAGTACATCAAAAACTGTTTTTTCCCAGCAAAAAAAGTTCCATGACCTTCATGTAGCCTCTATTTCCCCAGGCTCAAGATGAACTGAAAGAAACTATTCCAAAGAATCAGTATAGCCAGAGACCTGCTACATTTATGAGTGCCCCCTGAAAGAAAAGAAGGGGTGTCCTGATTAGGTTGTGGTTACACGGCTATGCATTTGTCAAAATCCATACCACCATACGCCAAAACTTGAATTTTACCATATGTAAGTTAAAACGGTTAAAAAATTTAAATGAGAGGGTATAAGTATATGTACCAGTAATTCAAAAGGAGACAAGGAATGTTCAGTCCTCTTAGAAGAGTCAGACCGGAAAATATGATGAATGTCTTCATCAGTCGTTCATAGCAATAACAGTGTGTGCAAGTTATGTTCGCATCTGTGAGAGCCTTTGAGGGTCTATCATTTCTCACCTATTGAAGGTGTGGGAGTCACCAAACACCCTCAAGGATGGAGGCACTGTCCGGTCTCATGGACCGCAAACATTTCCAAAATCCACCAGGGAGCAGGGAAAAAAGTGATGTCTTAAGTAAGCTCTCATAAGCTTGTACAATCAGGTCCCCTCTGGACCTCTTCGTGGCACAACAGAGGAATGGGCTGGTTTATGGGCATGGTTATGGAGAAGAGAAAGAAAACTATTTATTTACTGCGGATGAAAGAAATGTTGGATTTTCAAGAGCTTTAGGTCACCCAAATGGAATAGATAGATCCATATCACCATCACAAGAAAGATGTTCCTTTTAACTATGTTTAAATGCCCTCTATTTTTTTATCTTTCAAGAGTTTGAGCTTCACTCTGAAAAAATCATAGCCAAGGTCTACGATGACGATTTAAAAACCCAGTGACCCATAAATTCCTCATGGCCAGTGTTTCCAGCACCCATGGTCCCTGTTACTCCTGTTTCACAGGTGAGGGTCAAGGTGTTGGGTTGTTAATGATCTGTTCCAGGCAGCCTTAGGAGTGAGTGACAGGACTGAGACTGGAAGGCTAGATTCGCTCTCCTGGCCACCTCCCTTCTACAGAACGTGTAGGTTAAAATAAAAAGAGCCCAACAGAGGTTTCACCCAGTTCCAGACCATTACATCTTCCCACAGTGATGGCTTTGAATAGGGCCACCTCCACAGGAAAGAAATCATGGAGGGCATGGGGTCAGAGGAATCCGCTCAGCATCCAGAGAAGGCAAGGTGAAAACACGTTTTTGCATTATAGAAATTTCTGCTTTCAAACATCCCTGGACACACTACGTAGCCCACCCAGTGAATGCACACAGGATGGGCCTCATTTAGTCTGCAGATGAGAGAGGCTGGGGAGGCCCTTGGGCACCAGCGACTGCAGGCTTGGCCCCCAGCCTCTCTCCCCGCCTTGAAGGCAGCAGAGATGTGCGTGCAGCCTTCTTGGATGGTGGGGCTGATCTGTGCTCACACGCGCTTCTCTGAGGTCCGCAGCTGCCAGGGGTCCCCAGATGCGATGTCTAGGAACGGGTCCCAGGCAGCTGACGGGATTCGCTCTGTCACTTCTATCTTCCTCGCTCTTGGATCCGTGTCTGTTTCAGACGCTGGGTCTTCTGCAGCTTCTCCCAAGCCAGACGCCAGGCCTCGCCTATTGGAAGCAACCCCTGCCAAGAGTGCAGGCCTGAGCTGGGAGGGTGTGAAAACCCGGCATTCCCCCCGCCCCCCCCCAACCGCCCCGCCCGAAGGCATCCTGACTCCCCGGGGCAATGACAGCCTCTTGGCCGGCTCCGCTGGCACGGCTGCTCCGGAGTCCCACCGCTTCATCGATTCATCACGTCTCAGTGTGCTGTTGCCGCAGGCAGCGCGATCTCTTGGCGTTCCACTGGCTGCTGCATTTGGAAGTGATTTGGGACTCAAAAAGGCTGCAATCGAGGGAACTCTGCCGCGTCGTTCTCTTCTATTTCTGGCCACCCACTTTCTGAGCCGAGAAAGTGGGATCTGGCCCAGCTGATGCGAAGTGAATCGATCTGAGGTCAGGAAAGGTAGTAGCCCGTAGGACAGGGTGCTGGGTGAGAGGTCTCTCCTTCCTTCTCAGCTCAACCCAGATGCTCAGTTGCCGGGGGGGGGGGGGGGGGGGGGCGAGAGTCCCTGCCAGTTCCCGCTGCCTACCATTCTGTCTGCCTGGCTCAGCCTCAGTTCTCTGTCTTGGTGATGATCTGTCCTGAGTCCTGCAAGTGCCCAACGCACCTCCTGTTTCACAGACATCACCCTGATTTCTTGAGCTCAAGTCCAATTTGACTTCCTTTCGGCGGAGAGACCAAGCCATGTTTCGCCTCCCTTGCCCTTGAGCTTGAGCATCCCTTTGCAGAATGTTGAGGTCCTTCTTGATTCTCTCCCCTTCACGGTTCTTCTCAAATCCAACCATCTTGCATTTCAACTGCACATCAGCAACTGCATGTCAAACGTTGATATTTGAAATGACTTTCCCTAATGATCCAGAAAAAGCCCATTTTCCACAAAGCTTTTCTCCATGACTTGGTTTTACATATGACTATTGTCTGCTGTAAAGACCAAGTCTTTCGATCAATCACGCTTCCTTTCCAACTCCCCTCTCCCTGCGGTCCTGTCCCCCCCTTCCATGTTCATCTGCCCACCTCCCCACTCCCCCTCCTGTGGGCCGCGCCAATAGTGCAGCAGGAGGAATTTCTGGAAGGAGGCCAAATTTGGCTTCAGATCATTTCTCTTCAACACACACTGGCCTCTGAAAACCAGATTCTGTTTGTCATTTGGTTTGCTCTCCCAGCTTTGTGTCATTCCGATGGTAATGCTGATGGATTTCAAGCTTGCCTCGTAGAGGAACGCACAAGGTTTTCATAAGCACATTAATCTTAAAAGAAAAACTGTCAGATGCAAACAATACTCATATGACTGATGTTGTAAAGACACAAGCTAACTCTTAACATCCATTCCCAAAGAATATTATCTTACAGGGGCCTTCGGTTGCCCTCAGCTCCCTTCAAACATGTGTACCTGTGTGGCTGGGTTTCATGGCACCTAGAAAGTTTACTTTCCACCCCAAAAGGCTGGGGCTTAATGTCTGCTCATTTGCCAAGTCCATATAATAGGCTCAGTGTCACATGGCCATGTAAACAAGAGCACGATTACAAGAAATGTGTAATTCCATTAGCTTTCACAAAATGTATTATAAGCAGTCCTTATTCAAACCAAAGTGGAAAAATTATATTCTAAGACAAGGGACTCTGGTCACCTCGAAACACTGAATACCCATTAGCAGATGAGATGTCCTGCCCAAACCCTCTCCCCAGTGGACATGTCCTTGGCTCAGAAGTGCCTTTGCAGAAGGCATTTTCCCATTTTGGTCTGAAGTTAGCAAAATGTGTGGTACGAATTAAATGTCTGATATTGCTGCAAACGTCATTGGGAAGGGTGCCAGGCCACAATCAAGAGTGAGCTGGTAGCTTGCTTTAATTTAATGGTGTTGAAGTGTTCCACTATAATTAAGCATCTGAGAATTAAGTCGAAACAGTCATTAGGCTCAGCGATACAAAGCCGCCAGACCAAAGAATATAAATTATTTCAAATGGAGAGCCCTGAAGAGCATTCTGGGGTCTGAGAGGGTCTCTACAACAGGGGTTGGAGTGATGGCTGGAGTTTAGGACCTTGGGAACTGAGGAATGCAGACAGTAATCTGGCGATGCTGTGGCCCCAGCCCAGTCTGCCGAGGTCAGCATGGACCAGGGTCTGAGCCAGACCTGTGGCCACTCAAGCCGACCCTGTATGAAGGTGACGGTGGCCCTGAGGTTTTCATCATCACTGGCAGCCCACTTGCAGCCCTGGAAGCTCCTCTCTGTGCAGGCCTTCACCACGGCCCTGGGGCCGCTCAGGAGTCCAGAGCCCCTGCAGCCAGAGAAAACCCACAGTATCTCCCCACTTTCAACTCAAGAACTGACAAATTCTGGCCCTTCATCCCCACGCCCGTCTCTCAGGAAGGTGAAAGGTCTGGGGTGGGTGCGGGCAGGTGAAATGATGGCAGGTCCTCCAGATTGCTTTTGGAAGCTTAGGAAAATACCATGGATGCTTTGCAGGGCTAAAGTGCAAGGCCCAGTTTCATAGACTGTGACATCTTCTTATGCTCCTTCTACAGATAAGCCAGCTGAGATTTCAAGAAATTCAAGACTTTCCTTGGGATGCACAGCTGGTCAGTGACTGAGCCAGTTTGAGAACTGAGGTCCTCTGATTCCACGTTCCATGTGTTTTATAAAATGCTGTATTGACCCTGATAGAAAACAATAAAATTAATTGTGCTGCCCTTAGTGGTTGTTTGGTTTGCCATCATGTAGCCTGTTTCACAATGAACTTTTCATTTATCCACAAGTTTGAGTAACAAAGACCCTGATGATTTGAGATCTTTAGTTAAACTCTTTGGAAATATGATGAAAACAAAGGATGCTCTCTTGAGAAAATATACAGAGGCAAAATTTCACAATCCATTTTAAGGGGTTGGGGACCTGTAGCCCATGGGACCTGGGACCTCCAGTTAAAAAGGGATGCACAGATAATTGAAGCCTTCAAATTACCCCCAAGTTTTCACTTTATAAATCACCTCTGAGAGTCTCCTCTACCAAATATTTTTGAAACCAGGCTTTGCCAATTTCCCAATTGTCCTTCATTACCTCCCCTCCTACCAGCCACTGCCTGATGAGCAGTCAACATTTGGTTAGTTGGGGAGTGAGTGGTGGGTGGGAGACCTTCAGTACTTGGAGAGCCCACTGCCCAGAAATCAGTTCTGGGGAATTTCAAGTGGGCCATGTGTTAGGTCTCAGAGAAACGCTGAAGACTCCTGAATTGAGAAGAGTGTCTGTGCCCCAGTGTGCACTAGGAAGGCAGATGCCAAGTTCAGACCTGGACGCAGCCACTTTCTGGTTTGTATGGCCGGGAGCGAGCTGTCCCCTTTGTACTTCAATTCCCTCATCTGTATAATGGGGGTGATGTGACGTCAGTTTGGCCTCATGCAAGATATACATACAAATGCTTTGAACAATGCCTGGCCTGAAGCAAGCACGTGGGAAGCTCTCACTATCAAGGCCAGGAAAGAGCACATTGGTTCCGGGCCATGTGGTACTGGAGTGGGACATTGTCACGGTAAGCCAGCTGCCTTGGTTGCTTGTAGCAGCCCCGGGGTAGCTGACTGAAAGGTTCATTCGTCAGCTGTGGACCTTGTGGGGCTAAACCCCCAAGTTGGCATGTGAGTTGGCATCCATTCCCCCAAATCCTCTTAGGTAAAGATGGTTTCATCACAAAGCACCCACATCGCCTCTTCTTAGCCCCCTGCAGCAGTTTATTGCTCTGTGTCTGCACCTCCTGGTATTTAATGCCACATTCCTCAAGGGCTGGGTACCTGAGTATAACTATCCTCACCTCAGAAGTTCAGCTCCTGAAGTAGTTTCTATTTCTAAGCATAAATGGAATGTTTCCTCTGAGCACTTTTATTTGGATTTCAAAGCATCTCATCTTCATTTTTAAAATTTGCTGTATTCTTTCCAATTCAGGAAGACTTCCCACTCTTAGGGTTCCAGTTGTTTTCATGACCTGAATTGTGAGTGTAATGCAATGCAGGTTATTCCTAGCTGGAAATAGGAAGTAATTTCTTTCCCCGCTCTGTGCTCCAGAGACTATCGGAGCCTCCTTTGTCATTGGGCATCGCTGACACCCTGGTTGGGGCCGCCGTGTCTCAGGGGCTATTCTTGTCTGCTGAAGCTCTGGTGTAGAACAGTTCATGTGCAAGCTGGTCCCACTGGTGGTGGGGGGACTCAGACCTCCTCGAACTGCCAGGAGCCATGGGGCTCAGGAAGACTGACATCCACAGATGTCTCTGTGGGGTCACATAAAGGCGAAGCCAAGATCAAGAAGAAGTCCTGGGCACAGAGAATACACTGGGGGTTGCCAATGGGGAGGAAGTTGGTGGAGAGATGGAGTGTGAGGTTGGGATTAACAAATGCAAACTTTTGCATGTAGAATAGATAAACAACAAGGTCCTACTGTATAGCACAGAGACATATTCAATATCCTGTGATAAACCATCATGGAAAAGAATAAAAGGAAAGTGTGTATATATATATATATATATACACACACACACACACACACACATATATATATATATAACTGAATCACTTTGCGATACAGTGGAAATTATTAATAACACATTGTAAATCAACTATAATAAAACAAAGCAAAAGGAAACAAAAGAGGAGTCCTAGGGCTGAGGTCACTGAACAGTATGGTACATTGCATCACTGCTGTATCTGAGCTCCATGCTATGCTCTCGTTTCTGCCTTCACTGTGGAGCCGGGAGCAGAATCTGCTAGTGGTTATTGCAAATAACATGGTGATCGCTTTGCTGTCCATAATGACCCACAAAATTGTGATCTTGGAGATGAATAAAACACATGAGGTTTATTTCCTGATGGCTGAAAAAAGCTACCCATAGAGACGTTTGATATGAGACCATTATCAACAGTGGGAAGACTTCCCCTTGAGATGCCAGGCCATCACTCCGTAATGTCAAAACCTGACTTTGTCACCATCACATCCGGTAGAGTCTGCAACTATGGCAATTTTTAGGCTGCCTTGAAAATTCAAAATATCTGTTTTATTTTATATCAAGGTAACCTATCGATAGCTTCCCAGGTGGTGCTAGTGGTAATGAACCCTCTTGCCAATGCAGGAGATATAAGAGACATGGGTTCGATCCCTAGGTCAGGAAGATCCTCTGGAGAAGGGCATGGCAACCCACTCCAGTATTCTTGCTTGGAGAATCCCATGGACAGAAGAGCCTGGAGGGCTACAGTCCCTAGGAACACAAAAAATCGGATACGACTGAAGTGACTTAGCATGCACACACAACCTATTGATAAGGTTGAATATCAATAAGACCAATAAAACAGGAAGGTTACAGAAGGATGATGAGGGAAATGCCCTAGCAATAAT